TATTCAATAGAAATGCTTGGATCTGAGCTACTTTTCCAGTTTTGAACTAATTAAATAAGTCACATGAGAAGCCGAAACGTATACTTACTAAACTCGGCTGAAAATAATTCACTTCACTGCTACAGGCACATGTATCATGCTTGCAGAAAGCCCAAAAAGGTCCATGCTATCAAATATATAAAGTTGTCAAGGATGGTACAGATGAGTGGAAAGAAGCAATAAGAAAAGCTCAGTTATTTACCTGAGATAAGAAGACTGACTTAGGTAAACGTGAGGTTGCATACAGCTGAGCCAGTCCTTTCTTCTAATAACACCTTGCATCAGTTCAGATTAGATCAGAGCAATTTTTAGAACAAGAAAGGGAATTTGGATTGAAAAAGAAGATAATCCTTCTGGGTGCGGTTTCAACTTTCAAAAATAAACATTTACATTTTTCGATCCAATAATCTCCTTTGTAGATAAGATCCCAGTGAATTTTCTCCTAAAAGTCGCGATCACAAGCAATGCCCTGAAGGAAATATAACATAAAAATCAAGAATGAGCGTGTTAAAAATGTCATAAGTTTAAAAATGGTTCCTTTTGTTACCATAGCCTAGCAACGAAGGTCAGAGAGTCAATAAACTTCCTAAAAAGGCTCTGATGCCGGGGCCTAGTATAAGCTCTGAGAGACATAAATAACAACATGTGAGAATGAAATGTTTTGCAGGTAATGATATAGAAAGATTGCATTTGAACAGGATAGTTGGGCTCACCCAGTTTCTAACAAAGAGAAAGATTTAACAGAGACACTTGTCTTAATGCAAGATCCTAGAATAAGAAACTTCGCCCAAGAAAATTTTGGATTCACAAAGTGGACATTTCTCAAAGATACCTACAAACAAGGACATCTGTTACAAACAAACATATATTTGGACTGCCATTTTCATTTATGAAAGTCACCTAAAAAATCTTTGCTAGATATAGGTCAAGCCAGAGAGTGCTAATAGTTGAAGGATTGGATGCTTCTGAGAGGAAGAAAAGTACTTTTAGTTCATAAAGAAGTGTTTGCTATGTAAAAAAGGGAAGCTCTTTTTTTAACTTAAAGAAGCACTTTCAATGCTTTAAGAAGTATTTTTTTTAGCTTACTTCAGAAAACATTAACTAATTCTTTTTCCAAGAAGCACTATGCATACTTAAATCAGAACCACTTATTATAAAATCACTTACACCGTAAGTTATCATAAACATGCTTGTAGTCTACAAAGATGATCATCTACTTACTATGGCACCAACTCTCAAACTATGAGGCACAATGATATCACGATTAGTTAAGAGTAGCATTACTTCTTGGTCCAGCTCAACAATCATTCCCTGCATGTAAATGGCTGTGACTATCCCATTATAACTCCCACATTTACCGTTACCTCTTACATCAAACTTCGGGATACTTATAAATTGGTCCGGCAAGGTAGATATACGTATGGAAGATTTTTCAGCTGTCACATACATCAACTGTGATATCCCTTTCCCTATAGAAACTGATTTCTTCTTCAACCCTGATAAAGAAACTAATCTTCCAACTAATCTAGTCATTACAGGATGCCAATGTGAAGCAGGGCCGCAAAAGTATAGAACAACAGGCCTTTGAAAGCAATGGCAAATAGAATCTCCATTTGATTTCCTTAATTGAATTGTTGAATGTGTACACCAACACAGGTTGCACTCACAAACTAATATTTTGGCAAGAAATCCACGAAGACTCTTCAAGCAGTTGCTCTCACTGGTAGTAGAACCTGCACACGGTATAACTGAAACAGGGCTAATCGATTCCACTTCTCCAGTTAAGAAATGCTGAGCTTTTGCAGGACCAGCAGAATTAGTACTAGAAACTTGAAAAAGACTAAATGTGTCCAAGAAAGAAGGAGGTTCAAGAAACTCCCATCTAATAATCTCCAAGAAACCACTGTTACTACCGAGAGGAATGAAGTTCCAAGCCGAAATTTTGATCTTTTTGCCTAGTATCTTCAGATCAAACGTGAGAATGTCGCAGCAGACGGTAGCAGAACCATCAGAGAACTGAAAGCAAGCGCATTTAGAACTTGAGTCGTCGTTGTGAGTAGGTAGAGTAAGGGTTCCGGTGAGAACTGCCTGAAATGTTAAAGATTTGAGAACTTTCTGGGTAGGGGTTGCGGTATCCGGGTGAAAGCCTTTGTCAGGTTCGTCTAGAACTCCAGAATTTCGAGCAGGTCCTGAAAGAGAGATAGAAGGGCTGCTAATGAGGGAAAATGCTCCGGTGAGTGGTCTTGAACGTCCGATAAGCTCAGAGAGTTTAAGAATTTGGACGGTTTCTTCGCCCATGACAAGTTACGCGGTGGACAATCAGCCAGGCGCCGTTCTGGGTAAGGAATGCTTACTTCAAGTATTCTCGATCATCACAAACATTCCCGCCTTATTCTTCAATGCACTTTTTATATGTTTGAATAGCTGTTAGCGTCTCCGTGAAGACACTCAAGATCTCTTTAGAGCATCTCACGTCCAAAGTTGTTCACATTAAAATTCATGGCTACCTCATCGGCTTTTAACATTGGTGTAAAAAACTCTCCCAAGGCAGCCTATAAACCTTCCTGTAATGTTGACTTGTCAAAAAAAAAATTGACATTGTTTACATCACTGTCTTGGCTTAACACTGTCGTTTACATGCTGAGTCAGCCATTTTGGACGGATAAAAATTATTCCGCCTATTAAAAAAACCACCTGCTTAAAATAATTCTCTCTCCCACCTCCCAAATTATCTTTCCCGGTGCCCCACACTCCCACTTCTATCTCATTTCTTTTCTCCCCAAAGTGAAGCTTCGTAGATGGAGGAATGTTCAAGGCAGCATAGGCTCTCTTCAAAGGATTTGATTTTGTGGTAAGTACAATTTTTTTCCATTCCACAGATTTCTCACTTTAAATTTACCTCTTCTTCTATTAAATAGATTTCAAGCTACATGCTCTCTTTGTATGCTCCTCTTTTGCCTTATTTCAACGATGCGGTGATATGGTGGTCATATATTGGGGAGTTGTTTCAGATTTCTTTTTTGTTAAGAAATATGACGTGCTTTTACTATTTTTTGGGTTTTTATGGATTTTTTATGAGTAGACACTTGTTGTCTTGATTGAAACTCATTAAACCAAATGAATGTATAAATATTATGAGCCTAATATGCCAAAATTGACTAACTCATGAAGGTGAGTAGCCAATCTGAGATGTGAAATCGGGCTTACATATGACTAATTCACTTCAGGATAATATGACTATTACAGAGCAATCAGGATACTCTTCCCAGGCAGCTTTCACTTCAGGAAATCTCAATGGGACTCCCTCTGCTTACATATGACTAATTCATGTGAAGTAGCCAATCTGAAAATATCAATAGTCCTGAGATGTTCTTAAAAATAATTTTTTCATAGCAGCACCATACCTTATAAATCAGGGAATAGAGCTTTAGTTGGGCCCTCTAATTTATTACATTATAGATAAAACATTAGTCTACTATATTTCTCTTACTTAAATGTAATGGATTCATAGTTATTAGTTAAACAATTTAGGGCATATTTGGTAAAAGTTGTTTTTCTGGCTAAATCTATTAAATTTCGCAACGACGAAAAACATTTGGTGAAGTGGTTTAAGCCAAATAAGTCAAAGCCAGATTATTCTAATTATCCTACTGATAAGAAGAATACGTATGGCTATTATATCATGGCTACCACATTGCGCCTGAACTTACAAACTATTTTGGCACTAACATGTACAGTGAATTAGTCATAATTCATGATGTGTTCCAATTTATGAAAGTTAAAAAACACATCATGAAAGTTAATTCCAAACACATACTGTCGTGGTCTAAAATGAAAGCAAACATATCTTTAATACACATGCGAAGACGGGTGGCATGTTCAAGGTGGCTTTTCTTTTCTAATTGAACCAAGTTTTCTTTCTGTGAATGTTTGGTTTGCCCACCGCAACACATTGTTGCTTCTGTTGCAGCTTCATAACATTTGCGGTATTTGGGCATAAACTGCTAGGAAGAGATCTTCTATTGGTTTCTATTTTTCTTTGTTTTTTTACGAAAATTACTGTTACCCCTATGACTTTATAATAAGGTTATAAGGCCAAATGTAATGGAGGTTGACTAAAAATTCACTCTTAAGGTCTTAGCACTTCATCATCATTATAAGCCATGATATGGCTGTTGGTCTATGATCCTCCAACTTTGCTATTCATGGAAGAAATGACTCTGAGAGTGGCATAGACGGAGGAATGTGAGCAACATTGATGACTTGTATTATTGGAGAAATGTTGTGACTCTATTTTAGATAATTTCTATTAGATTTGACAGTCAAATGGAGTGTGATGGGATACATCATAGATGTTAATAAAAGAGGGAAGCTGTGAGAAAAATCAAACCTCCAATTCATGATGTGTTCGAAAATAGGAATATACAGCTAGTAATAAAAGGCAGTGTATTAAAGATATGCTTGCTTTCATTTTAGACTACGGCAGTATGTGTTTGGAATTCATAATATTAAATTTAGTTTGACAAAAGTGGGTTGATAAAAAGGTTTATTTTCAAATGTGATTCTTTAAGTCCATTTACTAAAGTAGATTTGTTGAAATTTGCCTCAGATTTCAATTGGAAAAGTGAAAAGGCCAAAAGCTCTCTTAGAAACAACTTTTCACTTTCTAAAATCTGTTGATTTTGTAATGAATTGAGAAAACACGTTCTAAATTGGCTTTCAAGATCCAATAGCCAAAAAAACCTAGCCTTATGACATATACTGTCTATTATTTGCATCCCTTTTTGTGAGTTTTTCATGGCTATACACAATGGTCCTATTACATATACTTGCTATTCTTTGCATCCTGAAATACAATAATTTCTTTAACAAAACCTAGAATTAATTGTGAACATAACATTCATTTATTATCTACGAGGCTTATATTTTGTAGGTAGGTAAATAGATATGGATTCACAAGACTCGGAGACCTTCTCATCTTCTCAGTATCAGTACAATTACATGATACCATCTCAACTCCCAAATCAATCACTTCACCCAACTCCACCGGTTCAACCTGCTTACAACTTCAACCAAAGTAATGGGATGTATCCTTATTGTGTGGACCAATATGGATCTAAAATATCATTCCAAGGTCTCTTGAATTCTCCGATATTAAATACTCCAGTGGCCAATGCTCAATTTGAGAGTTCAACAAAAAGATCAAGAAAGAAAAGTGATGACATCCCAATAATGCCTCAAGCTGCGAGTTCTAGAAAAGAATGGACTAAAGAGGAAGATGTAGCATTGACGAACGCGTGGTTACACGTATCAATGGATTCAGACATCGGAAACAATCAGAAAAGTACTTCTATGTGGGTGAGAATAGTAGAAGTCTTTAAAGAAAATATGGGAGCTAGATGCAATCCTCTTAGAATTGCATTGGGGGAAAATACAAGCAGCGGTGAATAAGTTCGTTGGACATTATGAGCGACTAGATAGGCATCCACAGAGTGGCACAAACTTGGATGATTTGGTAAGTGATAAATTTTTAATAATGCTGTTTTATAGAACATTTTCTACTTACCATGTTCAATGTTTGAGAAATGGTCTTAGTATTGAGTATTACCTCAAAATATGCTATTAAAAATTGTTTAATGTTTTTCTCTTAGATAAAAAAGGCAATAGGATCGTATGAAGACATTCAAGGAAGCCCATTCAAATATCTCCACTGTTGGGAAATAATGACTAAAAATCCAAAATGGTACTCCGAACATGTGAAGCCAACATCAACAAATAAAAAAACTGTTCACACCTCCAGCTCACCTGTAAGAGAGGATCATGCAACGAGTATTGATGAAGAAACTATGGCCTTTGGAGGTACTAACTCAGATGGGGTCATTCGTCCCCAAGGAAGAAAGGCTTGTAAGGAAAGAAAAAGAAAGGTACATGAGGAAAAAGGTGTGGTGGATGTGTTGAACAAGCTACAAAGCACTTTAGAGAAACAAGTTAACGTGAATATTACAGCTTTGGAGATGAGAAAAGAGAATGATCAAAAAGAATTTCAAAGATATACATGAACCCAACGCAACTCGTATTTCAGCATTCCCATAATGTATTCAAAATTTAAGCCAATCTCCGTAACACGGTTGATTTAGTAAACCTGAAGAGTATGCACTTGAGTGAAAGACGTATATCTTTGTTTCTATTAATAATTTGGACTTGAGTCCTGAAGAAGAATTGTGTATATTTACGATAGGAACCCAACGCAACTTGTATTTCAGCATGCCCATAATGTATTCAAAATTTAAGCCAATCTCCGTAACACGGTTGATTTAGTAAACCTGAAAAGTATGCACCTGAGTGAAAGACGTATATCTTTGTTTCTATTAATAATTTGGACTTGAGTCCTGCAGAAGAATTGTGTATATTTACGATAGGAAACCAACGCAACTCGTATTTCAGCATTCCCATAATGTATTCACAATTTAAGCCAATCTCCGTAACACGGTTGATTTAGTAAACCTGAAGAGTATGCACCTGAGTGAAAGACGTATATCTTTGTTTCTATTAATAATTTGGACTTGAGTCCTGAAGAAGAATTGTGTATATTTAGAATGAGCAACAACTCAACAAGACAGTGGTTTTGTGTGTAATAGAAATAAAACTATAGAAGTACAAGACTGTTTTTTGTGGGTAATAGAAATAGAACCTTAGAAGTACACGACTGTTTTTAATTGGAGTAAATATAAAGGAAAACTGTCAAAATAGACGCTCCTAGTATATTAAAAAAGTCAATTGAACCCTGGAACTAAGAAAACATCCAATTAAACTCACGAAGTATACAAAACATAGTTATACTTTAGCAAGGGAACTCCCGGTTAACCGGTTACCACGTTCATTGGATCTAAGACATTTGGATGACCCTTACAAGCAACAAACATGGATTATTCACTTTAGAACCCTGAACACTCTAGAACTTTGAGCCTTGCTCTATTCACTTAAATCAATCTAAGACCTGTTAATGTGGATATGTGTACGTATAAGATGAAACTATTTTTAGCTCTAAAGGATTGCAATATAAAAAGAAGAATATACATTTTAGGTATGAACATTGTTCATAGCTTCTTTTCGCCCATTGTTGAACATATGTGAATCAACCATGTCTTCTCCATTCCCTTCATGTTCATAAATTGGCATTCCCATTTTGCACATGCTGATAAAATTATGAAGTGTAAAAGTAGAGAAAATAATTGCTTGTTGATGCTCTTCTTTCATTTTAGGCATATTGTGAAGTATCTTCCACCTTTTCTTCAATTACGAAAATGCTCTTTCAATGGTAGTTCTCAGTGATGAGTGACGATAATTAAAATGTTCCATTACTCCTCTTGGTTTACCACCGTCACGAAATTCTGGCACGTGTTTTCTCATTCTCGCATCATCAAATGGAGCTAAATATCCAAGTGTGTTTGGATAACCTGAATCTACTAAGTAATATTTACCTACATTTTAAATTGACTTTGTTAAAAGATACTATTCTATATTTACAAAAACCTTTAATAATAAATTTATTTATAGTTTATACATGATGGGGGGTGAGGAAAATGATATTTTGATTGCTGATGGAGTATTAACTCCTAGATTCTAGAGAGAAGTGAGAGCTAGAGAGAGAAGTAGTATATTTGCTTGGTATTAATGAATTATGAACCCTTACAACTACTCCCAAGGGGAGTATTTATAGAGAAAATACGGGCTGGGCTCCCAAGTCTTGGGCTTGGGAGGCCCATCTACAACTGGACCGCTATTGGGCCGAATACAAAGCCACTGGTGGGCTATACAAATGAATAAGTGTAAAATCCGGTTCTGTGAGACTTCCGTGGCCGACGAGGGCATGGCCGACGAGGGCATGGCGGATGAGGGCATGGCCGATGAGGGCATGGCCGATGAGGGCATGGCCGACGAGGTCACCCGGTTCTCCGGACTTCTGGATCATATTCTGAGTAGACCTTTTCCTGTCCGATGAGGGCATGGCCGATGAGGGCATGGCCGATGAGGGCATGGCCGATGAGGGCATGGCTGACGAGGTCACCCGATTCTCCTGACTTCTGGATCATATTCTGGGTGGCCTTCTTTCTGGCCGATGAGGGCATGGCCGATGAGATCATGGCCGATGAGAGCATGGCCGACGAGGTCACCCGGTGATCGTGGTACCTTCTGTTCTTCTGAGTATGTGGGTCCTGGGGCCTAGACCCATATACTCCATCAATTGCATTAAGGAATCAACTCACACTCTTACGTCGTGAGAGCTTCCTTCCCAGCCAATATTGACAAACGTGAATAGTTTATCAAATGAACAACATGCTAAGACATTCCAGGTTTTGATTCCTTTGCATCCTCGAAACGGCACCCCCTTTGCATCTGATATAACTGCTTCAATGTGAGTACCATCTAATGCTCCAAGTGAATCCTAATACAATAAATAAAAAACATAAATAAAGTCTAACGCATATACAAAAATAAATTAGTTTTCATTGACTTTTAAAAACGTTGAATAATTCATAAATATACCTTCAAATATGGCCAATATAAGGAATTGTTGAAAACTATGGTGTGGACGTCCAACAAATTGTGATGTGGTCGAATTATGTCAAAAGATAACTCAACCAAGGCATGCAATACTAGATTGAAATATTTGCATATGGTTCTCAAAGAATGCTTAAAAACATCAGCTGCATCTGTGTAAGAAGCTCCTTTGGCCAATATATAGAGACCAATTCCAATTTGCTCTGCCACATGAATGAACCTGTTTTCTTTCAATAAATTTCTTTCAACCATAATATTCACAAGGTGGATGAACATTTCTCTCGTCAACCTTAATTGCTCTTTACACAATCCAAGATGACCACTCAACATTCTATGTATATATTCACCTCCCGTTTCTCCACCTACTCTCATTGGTATCCTAGTCTTCTTTTGTTCATCATCTCCAAGTAATGATCTGAGCTCTTCTAATGCAATAATTAGACATGACCGTCTAACTTCAACATTCATTCTACACAAGTAAAATAATGAATTCCAATGCACATTAAAACAAATGGTAAACACATGCTATAACAACGATAACACGAGATGTTTGTAAAAGATAACAATCCACATAATTTTAGTTCAAATAAAAAAAATAAAAAGTTCAAAACGAATAGACAAAATTTTAGCATGCTGAAAATAAATAATCTTAAGTTCAAACCGCCATATAACAATCTTGATTGCCGTAAGGAACTCCTTACTGTAGAAACATCCACCTCTAATTTTCAGATCGAAGTGTCACAAAGACCTCACCCTTATTACCTTCACTTAAGAAGGTCATAGCATCCACATAATATTGATCACCGTATTTCTTGTCAACCTCCATCTCATTAAGAAGTTTAGCCACCTTTTCGATCACATATTGCTCTTTTGCAGAAGCAAGCTTCACGATTTCTAAACACCTATTTATTTCCCCTCGCTTTCGTGCTAAGCTTTCACTGACGTTGTTTTTTCCCTTTCGCTTCTTAGTTGATGCGGATGATTGATCTACCATAATAGGTGAATCACTTTTTTCACCATAAACTGTATCATGACTTTTATTTTCATCCGAACTATCACTACCGGTATCAAAAGATTCTTCGGTGTTTATGTTCTGAGTCTTTTGGACCGCGACATTACTATTGAGAATGAGTGTTGTCCTAGCGCTAGCAGGTGAGCTACCTCGTACACCATGTGCAGTCTGTCCTTGGAATAAAGCTTCTAGGTACTGAAGATATGGCATCTGCTTCTTAGCAACTGGAGCTCCATGTCGCTTATGTTGCTAAAAGATATATTTATATTTATATTTAATAATACAATTAAATAATATTAGTAAATAACTTTTATTTAGAGAATATAATTTGAAATTAAAGAAAAAGGCAAGTGCATTTTTACCTCTTGATATGCTTTCCATCTATCTAAGGAACGTTCTTCTACTTGAACTTCACCCGTAACTGGATCAAAATTTATGTCAGTGCAATTTTGAAGGTCGACCCATGCTTTGTATTTATCTTTCAACTCACTAAAGTGATTTCACGCTTTTTTACAATAAAAAAGAGCACCCGTTTGTACATGAAGGTTGTTTACAATTTTATTCCAATCATATTTAGTATTTCCTTTTACTTTTTCTTCAGCACAAATCTTCAAATGTGTAGTTGTAGTGGTGTCATTCCAAGGTGTCCTCCTTGACATTGTCTATAATTGATAGTAAAATAATACATAATTATAACTTCATAATAAATTGAATTGAAGTATTTGACTTTCTGTATAAATATTTTTAATTATATGTTTATACAGAATAGTAGTACAATACTAACTTTTCAAAAACTATTTGACTTTCTGTAAAACATTAACAATTCATCACATTAAATACAACATTAAATTCAAAGCATTCATCAACAAAATAAGAGCATCTTCTATTGTTTTACTTGAAGAAGGCTTACCATCGTCAGGTTCGAGCTTTATCGCAGAGGATAGGCTTTACAGATGCGGATGATTCTTAGGTGACATTTTTTTAATAAGAGGCACTTCAATCGGTTGATTACCATTCAAATAAGAAATTTGCATCTTTTTAAAAATTAGGGGTGGATTGCACCTATTGAGGTTAGTAAAGCTACGGACAATTCAACTGACAACAAGAGTGAGATGAAAGGGAAGAAGAGCGCAGATCGAAGATGGACTTTTATATACGAATCACATAAATAATTATATTTTATTCAAATAAAATGACTTAGGCAGCGACGGAAATACATGGCGGGAAGATTGACGTGCGGCCGATTGAAGATGAAAGGGAAGAAAAGCGCAGATCGAACACGGATTTAGGGTAGACGGAAGGGAAGTAGAGCGCAGATGGATCGGTATGTTCTATTTTATATATACGTGTGACTAAACTGGGCCAATTGCCTAAATTTATCTTTTGTCCTGTTTTTATTTGGACTAGTTCAGTGTAGTCTGATATGGTTTGATCTAGATTGAGTTGTTCTGTATTTGTATGATCTGGTCTGGTCTGCTTCGATCTGGTCTGATCTGCTTCAGTCCAAGTAAAATGATAACAATTTTCGATAATTTGGAAGGAATATTATTATTTTTAATCATAAATTAATAAAATATAATTATTTATGGATTATAATATATATAAAAAATAAAATTTTTATGCAAAAAATATAAAATATAATATTTCAGACCAGATCAAACCATACCAGACCAGACTAGTCCAGACCAGACCAGACCAGACTAAAACAGACCAGACCAGACCAGCAAATTACGGTCCAAGTAAAAATATCAAACATCACACCTTCTTGATGGTTACGCGTTGTTTCCAAATTTGGTTGAATTGAAAAAATATACTCACACTCCATAATTGATCTACCTAAAAGTATACCTAACTTGAATAGACCAAAGCTTCAATAGAAATGACAATGGAGAACAATTAAATAAACAACAAGCAAAAATGAACCAGCTAATTAGCTTCTGATAAACAATGTGATGGACATGTGTTTAATGTATCAACATCATCATATTCTAATGGATACCAGATAATTAATGTATAAAAAATATATCCACACATTTATCCTAAGAATATTATCTACATTCATAGCACTCCTTTAGTCATTCTCATACATTGAAACACGTTTTGAATTGATCCTATATTACTTTAATTGTGCATATTGAGTTGTTTCTGAGTTTGTAGATGGGCGCTGCTCTCTTATTTATCTACTTAAATTTTTTACAGGCAGCCTATTTTGTTTGATCCCATATGTCTGTTATTTAAATATAGTAATTTAAACTGAACTTTTGGATGAGGTATAATTTGTTTTTCAGAACTAAAGTCTACATAATAACTAATAATAAGGATGTGAGTGGTGAGGTGCAATTTTTATTCTTAGATTGGAATGGGTATACATGTTTAAAAAATAACGACTATAAACATTGGTGTTGCTCTCTTTTTTTATCTGCTAAAATTATTTAGAGGCAGTCTGTTTTCTGTTAATGGATATAAAGTAAGGTATATATAAAAAATTTATCTATAAGTTCATTCTTAGAATATAATGTGATTTATTATTATTATTATTATTATTATTATTACTAATTGCTACTCCCTCCGTCCCAATAAATTCTTCCTAGTTTGACTTGGCTCGCAAATTAAGAAAGTTGGAATAAAGTGGAAATGTATGGTTGTAGTTGTGTAAGAAAAAGGTAAATAAATGTGAGCCACATAATTTTTCCAAAAAGGTAAGTTGGGAGAATTTTATAGGACGGCCCAAAAAGGAAAGTTGGAAGAATTTAATGGGACGGAGAGAGTAATTATTAGGGAGAATTTGACTTTGCACCCGATGTTTGATTTTGCACCCTCTTTTTAAAATCATTAATGTATGCATCCCATCAACCCAAAAATTGTGAAGGAGTAGGGTGCAAAGTCAAATGATTTTATAGTGAGTTGGGGTGCATACATTAATGATTTTGAAAATAGGGTGCAAATTCAAATATCACCTAAAACATGGGGCGCAAAGTCAAATTCTCCCTAACTATAAATGTAACTCTTATTGTTTAATTAGTATGAAACATGAGGGAAAAGCAAGATAGATGCCAATTTATTTTTTGATGAAAGATGCCAATTTATATTATTATAGATAGATGCCGTTTTTTTTATTTTAGTTTCCTTTTGTAACTAATTAGATCATAATTTGAAATATATCCATCGATTATTTCCGTGTGCGTATGCCCGGGTACTGTACTAGTTACTACTGAAGTTTTAATTTTTTTAAGTGACTAAATAAAAACTCTGAATCTATTCAAATTTCTTACCTCCTCCATCCTCTGCATAGATGTGGAGATGCCTTGCTTCACTCCCCCACCACTATTACTTTTGTTGCTTGGTAGATATTAGGGGTGGGCGCGGTCCGGAACGGTCCGGGAAATTAGTAAAACCTGTAATGTATTCATGAGGTTTCTAACGGTCCGGTACAGTCCGGTTCTAAGGATGGAACCATTCGGTACCATGTTGTTTGGGAACGGTACGAAACGGTACGGTACAATGCCAAACACCTGCTAAAACATTGGACAAATCTTGCAATTAGAAAAATAACATCACACCAACCAACTCACATTAAGTGTTGAAATAAATACAAGAAATTCCATACGTAGTACCAGTGGTGGAGCCAGAAAAACGGCTCAGGGGGTCGAAACTTAACCTATATATAGAATGAAAATGGTGGATTGTTTTTAAACAATGTCCGAGTTAAATATTTCATATGCAGTTTAGATAAATAGGCACTCATATCAATAAGATAGATTGTCTTTGTTCTGTTTCTGAGTCGTGTCACGTAAGTATTGAGTGAATTATACCCTATTTTTGAAATTTGGGAAAATAATCTCTAGTATGCATCAAATTTTGCCGATTTTACGTTTAGATAGTGCTGGTTTTCCAGAAGTCATAACTTTTTACTCGTAATGAGTTAGGGGGCATAATATATCAAATCGAAGATATTTCAGATCTCTATACTCTCAAACTTTCAGCGGGGTCGACTGACCACCCTGACCCCCCTTGGCTCCGCCCCTGCGTAGTACTAAAGTTCACAAATACACAAATAGTGCAACACAAATAAGAAAAAGTATAGCAAAATGATGATACACGAATTAAATAATCTTTCATTTACTAAGTTCATGTGAAAATATAAAAGGAATATCATCAAATTGTTCAATATAATAGAAAAATTCAACGTTCTTCTTCTTTGTTCTAGGTTAAATATTAGTTCTAATTTAATTTATAGTTGAACCGTGAGAGCTAAGATTTAAACCATATTAATTAAGTTGTACAATTGCACAAACATGATACAACAAAAAGTCATATGCACTACATTACTAGAAATGAATAGTCATTAATGACTTTTAAAACTTTAACATTCTTTCAATACATACCAAAATATAACACAAAATTATCTAAAAAGAAAAAATAACAATATACATATAAACACACATTTAGCTATTTTAGGGACACATGAATACATACTTGGGTATAAAATTGATGGTCAATAAAATATATTTATTGGTATGGAACAAAATATAAAAAATTTAAATGCATTATTTTTGAACGGTCCGGTCCGGTTCTTTTCGGTTCTCAAAATTTAGAACCGATCCCGCACCCGTTTCAAACGGTACGATTTCGGTTCGGGCTAAAAATCTTTTGAACCGTTTGAATACCCGATATTCGGTTCGGTACCATTACGGGCCGGTTTGGTTCTGGTTTTGTGCCCACCCCTAGTAAATATTTTTTAATCTCCACAAAAAGTCTTTGAAAAAATGGTGGTTGATGTGACTAGAATTTATGATAACTAATACGTAAGTGACATGTTAGATGATGCCACAATGACATACTCAAATCACTAACGGTAACATAATATAGAGATGTATACGCTGCTTCTACTTTAAAAAGAGACTCTAGGTTATTTTAGAGAAGAGTTGATAGACCGGGCGCGTAGCTCACCCGATAGAAAGGGGATGAAACTCTCTCTCTCTCTCTTTCTATTATAGGGAGATCACGGCCTAATTTATACCCCATCAGGGATGGAGTGTCATCCTTTTTCTAGGATGAACCCGGGTCAGAACGGTTCAAGATTAGGGTTATCCCGGTCCCAACCCAATCATTAATAACGGTATGGAACGGTACAAGACAAGCCTTTGTCCTAGTCTTGTCCCATTTAAATCGGATCCGGGATGATTCAAGAACGGTTCGGGACGTTCCAAACTAATAAAAGAGTTCTATACAAAAAAAAATCATCTTTTGTAATTAAAATGTATTAGCATTTCTAAAGTATCATGCACTAAAATATTACGTAGTAACATTTTAAAAGTCAACGATGTTCATTCAAGAATTGAATTCAAAAGTAACATCTTTTAATTCGTTTTAGCAAATATTGATTTTTGAAACAGGAATTAATTCAAAAGTATCATACAAACTATCTATTTTACAAAAACCTTAAAGCTTTTGGATTTTAATTAGTTTTAGCAAATATTGAAATTAGAATTTAAAACAAAGCAAAAAATGAATTAATTTATTCAAAATCATGTGTTCTAGTTGTGAGATACTCATATGCAAATATATAGAGTGAGATAAAAATCTAAGTTATTAAATATTTATGTTAGGTATTATTTTTAATTTAAAAATGGGCTTGACAAAATGAAAGCATACCACCACTTATTTTTTGAGTTGGCACTACAAACTAGTCACATGCTAAAAAATCATATAGGTATTACAAACTGGGTAATGGGATGTTTCGAGATAACCTTTCAATGTCCTAGTAATGTCCCGTTTTAAATCAGTCCGGGACGGGTGCGAGACAAAATAAACGAGTCCCAAATGAAACGGAACAACACCAGTTCGATTCCGAGATATATCGAAATGGGACAACGGGACTCGAAATCTCACCCACCCTTTCTTTTTTTAGAGAAAAGATGATGGTGTTTTAGAAAAACATAATTTTCAAAAAGTAAAAGTTGATCGTGTTCATTTAAAAATTACCTTTTGCATAGAAAAGTGAAAAATAATTGTAAGCAATCCTAGTTCCTACCTACTTCAAGCTTTTAACTTTAAAGTCTTTAAACTTTGGAATAAATTATCACTTGAAAATACTAATTTCAACTTTTTATTTAAGCAAAAGGCTAAAAAGCTTTTCGAAATGTAGTGTGCTATTGAAGCACTTGCGCGTGTGCGTTTAAGAGATGCTTCTGGGGATCCCATATTACCACTGCTTTATTAGTAGTACTGTAGTAGAGTAGCTGTTCACTATTCAATTGCCATTTGCCAATTAAGGATTTAAGGGTGAACATTTCAATCAGGATTCAGTTTCCATTTGTTTTCTAATGAATTCAGTTTGAAACAAATTGAGATAATGATTATCAAATATTTTTGTCCTACCAAGAATACTTGATGCCAACAATAGATGCAGACTGTTAAATAGAAGTCGATGCATCACTTGATGTACATAAGCTTTTGCTTAACTTATATAACCTATGATTTTTCCCAAAAAAAAAAAACTTATATAACCTATGGTATTATACACAAATACATGTTGCGGATTTCATTTCCCATAGTCATTGCTCAACCAAGACCTTGTGTTTTCAGCTCCCTGTGAACATGGAGTGCTGCTGCAAATACAGACACTAGAGAGGTTGATCAAACTGGCCCATCGATCGATCATCAACTATACGTTTTCTCAGGTGAAGTGGGGAATACCTCGAGCGTTGAGCGTGGTGAATGATGATGAGATCCCCCAACAACACCATAAGCTTCAGTATTAGGTGGGTGTGTACCTGCTATTTTACTGTAACCAGAAAAAAGGATGACCTTATAGTGAGCATGCAATTAATGTGCTAGTTTTAATTTTTTAAGTTTAAATTTAGTAATACAAACTAGCCTAAGAGCTGAAAAATGAACTTCAACATTAACATAGGGAAATAAGAATAGGAAGTACATAGCTTGTGTCGTGTGTCAGCATGGTTAGATAAATTCCATGGTGCATTACTTTATACATACTACGTAAGTAACGTGTCCTCTCCCATCCTAAGGACTTGTTTGCCTCGTGGATTTTGGAGGGAAAGAGAAGGAATGATTGAATTTTATTTTACTAATTTATCTGACTTATTAGTTTGAGATTCGAAATAATTATATGACAAGTCAGACTATGTATTTCTTTATTTTATTTCAAAAATAATTGTCTTTATTTTATTTCAAAACATATAAAGTAAGAATAATTGTAGAATAAAATATCACCCTTTCCCTCCATCCCCTCCGAAAGCCTAGCAGCAAACAGATCCTAAAAAGTATTTCATTTTACTATTCATGTGGTCAATGTAATACTACGTATCTATTTTTCTCTAATTTTGTGTGTTAAATTTTGTAATATTCAAATTCAGCTTTTGCGGCCCATTGGAACTTCAAGTATAGCTTCTAAACATGTAAGTTTTAATTAGTAAAAGTACTTTCAAACTTCAATACATTAAGAGAGTTAATTCATTACGAGTCAAACCTCGTACATACAAATGGATATGGGATGGAGGTAATAATGAACACAGTCGAGGTAAGTAGGTGTCTACCCATGGCTGCTACGCAACAGTTTCACATGCATAATGGACGGAGGAGTTGCATTTACGTGATCAAGTTGTTGATGTTTCATCAGGTCTTGTTGTGTATCCTGGAAAATCAAGATCCAAGTAGATAAGCCAAAAATGGTGAGAAGACCAATACATATATGCTCTCAAGATCTTTTGGGGTTGAGTAAAGCCCATGGGTCTAGATAAGGAGGCAAACCCCAAGTTCGGTAAAAACAAGTTTTTCATTTGTAAATTTTTTGTGCACAGATGCATATAGATGAATTGTTTTTCCAATTTACCCCAAATTCAAAATTTTTGGGGTCCTGGCTATGTCAAACCCAACCTTATCCTTAAACATTTTTTGTTGGAATATGAAAATAACACAGGCATTGTGGCTTACATGTTTGAATGGAGAGGCAGGGGAGAGATGTAAGAAAGGATGATCAAGTAGCATAGCTGCAGATGGCCTATCTGCTGGATTCCTTTGCAAGCAGCATCCAATAAAATGCTTTCCTTCTGAAGATAGTGTTTCTGGTATAGGTGGCGATTTGTTCAATACACTGAACATCGCTTGTACCTGATGATCATCATTAATTATATCATTTATTTGATCGCAAAACAAAATGAGGGTCAAGATTAATTTCCTACCCAACTAAGATCACTCCAGGGAGGTTGCCCCGTGAACATCTCTATGACTGTACAGCCCAAGCTCCATATATCGACTGCAAGTGCAAGATATGGATTATCATCTTTCCTTAACATCGCCTGCATCACCTGCCACATGTGTATACACATACATGTTCTGCTAAAGTAGTTCGAGAAAACAAGAACCATCAAGATTACTCGTTTTATTGAAATACCTCAGGGGCCATCCAATGCGGACTTCCTTTCAATGAAAGATCAATATTTTTTCCCGAAAGCTGAAATAGAGTCCAGAGAATGAGTAAGAAAAAAATTATGAAACAGCTTATGATGAATTTTAAATTATCTCAGATCAGAAAAACATAGAAACACAAGCATACAATTAAGAACTTGGATTACTCCTATTGAATTGACAATTTAAGATGGAACTACAGCTCTTAATAATAATAAAGTATAACCAAGTCAAAATAAATAAATGGAAAAAGAAATAAGAAAGAAGCAAATACTACGGGTGCACTTTGATAGCATAAAAAGCATCTGTACAGAACAAATGAGCAATGCCAGTATGTGTGTGTGTGTGTGAATCATAAAATAAATAGCATGCTGGGAAGTAAGTAATCTGTCTTGGTTAATATAAACAATTCAAGGTTTCAAGAACTGACATGTTTTGCCAATCCAAAGTCAGCAAGCTTGACAACACCAGATGCATCTACAAGCAAATTAGCCCCTTTTATGTCCCTGTTCCCAAACATCCCTAATAAGCTATTATTATCATTCATTATATAATAATTTTTTTCCACTTTATATTCTTCAAACTATTGTTGCAATGAGACTTTCAGTACCTATCATTGAACTTTTCCCATTTTGGACCTCCAATTATTGTGGGACATTTTGGTACGGCCTTTAAATTTTTCTACTTGTAGTTATCGGGCTATTGTAAGAGTGATATTTTTATCCTCCAACTATTGTAATTGTAAGTCCTTCAACTATTGTGGCAAAAGAATGAGAATAAAAAGTGTAATTGTCATGTCTAAAAGTGGAAAGATTTAAAGACGGGTACAATAAGTGTCTGTGTCACAATATTTATAGGGCAAAAAGTGAAATATTCAATGACAGGTACAGTGTAGTTGACACAACAGGCAGTGGCTAAAAGTGGGAAAACCTCATTATATAATTAAAGTGCTTTAACTATAACTATCAGTCTACCACTACTGTGATACAGTACCGGTGAATTGTCTTGGTGCTGTGCAAGTAAGCCATTCCAGAAACAATATGACGAGTAAAATTTCTAACAACAGACTCTGGCAAAGCTCCTCCATAATCTCTAAGGTATTTATTAAGTGATCCAGGATGAATGTACTCCAAATATATGCAAAACCGATCGTCAACCTAAACCATATTTAAAAAACATTGGTTAACACACACACATGTGGAGATTCCTCCGCAAAAAGACATGTATCATTGTTTGCAAATCCAGGAGAGTAGAGAATGTTCTTACAATTTCACTGCCATAATACTGCACAATATTGGGATGTTTCAGCTGTCTAAGCACTTGTATTTCCTAAATTCAAAGCAAATGACAATCTATATTAGGGAGTCATTTCCATTTCAGTCTTCAATATCTGCAACTTACTCTTAAAGAAACTTGGTTTACCACGTCAGTCGTAGACTATGACACAAAATACAAATCCCTCTGTTCCAAAATGAACTTTGCGGTTAAGTTTTGGCAACTTTTTAAGAAAATGAAATTGTGTGTCTATTTAGAAACAAATCAAATAATATCAGCAAGCAATTATTCCGGAACGTATGACTTGCCAAGTGCCAATTATTTATATCAATGGATCTCATGTCATGCCAATATGTAAATTGCATGGTTGTTTCGATTCGCTTAGGACATGTTTCCTTCGAATGGTTTTCTGGTCTAGTCTTTGCCGCCTTAGGCGCTAGGCGATCACCAGCTACCCCAACTTTAGTCTAGTCGGTCTTAAAATTGTTCAGCAAGTTAGCCAGGCGCCAAGACCCAATTAATCAGGCAGCTTGTGCACCTAAACCCGACTAATTGGACACCTAGGACATACATAGCTTTTTTCATTCGGGCTCACAACCTCAAGTGTGCACGCCGCATATGCTTTTGACAAGCTAAAGCACTTTTACATTGACACTTATCTAATATGTATTGCATCATTAAACTAGATGAAAAGTTATTATTACAATTAACAATTCCACAACACATACACTGTTGATATATCTATCTAAGTACGCATGTGCGTGTGTATTATGTATACTTTTTTTTGTATTATGTATACAATATTAGTGGTTGTATTCGTACAACATTATTTATGATTTATATTTTTACATTCCGTCTAATATCAACCTAGGTGCTAGACACTAGGCTGGCACCCGACTTACACCTCGTGAGTTTTAGAACATCGAAAGTTCTGCTTTGCAAGTCTAATTTGGTCTCAACCGGTCTAATAACAAAACAGGTGAAAACAATAATAATGTGAAACTACGTTATAGCCTCACAAGGAGAAGAGAGAACCTGTTCCAGCTGCTGTATGCATTCTAAGGCTTTTGGGTCATCAAGGGCGTATTCGACTTCTTTCATTGCACATAATGCACCAGTTTCACTGTCAGTGCAAGACATATCAGATTCATCAACAAAATGCACTACCCTGTTAGCAAATAGGACACTTTCCAACAAAAAAAAATGTTTAACCTTCCTGGTTTATTCAACAGGTTTGAACCCAAGAACACAAATTTCTCTGAGGTCCCTAATTCGAAGCACTCCAGTCATTATCTTCACAGTCCGCAAGACTATACGGGTTAAAGGTCCTGGACACCCTTGTCTTAAAAAACATTTAAAAGAAAAAAACATACCGATTAGATGCAACATAAACAGTTCCATAAGTGCCACGTCCTAATAATTTCCTTTTTTGCCATAGACCTTTCGTTGGCAGTGGTGTATCTGATTTTTCTGTATTGTTATGAGTGGGACATGACAGTGATAGCCTTAACACTCTGGGTGGAAGGGGCAATGGATGGACATTGAGGTTATTCTCCAGGTGAGATTTACTATGCAGAAATGCAGGGTTAAAGAGATCAACTGTGCTAAACTTTTTCGGGCTGAGTACAGGACTGGTAAACCCACTGCCCGGAGCACTCCTTGCTGGGACCTCAAGTCTTAAGGAGTCTAGTCTGTCCTTGTTCGTGTTTGTATGATCATCATAGAAACCTCTCCGTCTGTAAGTTTGAGTTGTTGCTCTCCTTGTTGAATTTACTGCCTTTCCAATACCATCCCTTGAGGGATTACTGCAATAAAGCAGCCCATATATTATTCTTAAGCAAGAATTTCAAGAACATATCTCAAGTTACAAACTATCAAATGTTAGCCCATTTGTTAATAAAGATGTTACAGTATGATAATACCTAAAAGTGAAAAATAAAACTTTTTGTTTAAATAAAAAGGCAGTGTTTTTTAAAGGTAATGCACTCAACTTTTGAAGTATTACATTAATGTTTCACACCGGTTTCAGTCTTTGACAAAATATATGGTAGATAAGTAGATACTCCGTATAAAACAACACCAAAACCTTTCAAAAAAAGCACCAAAAAGTTATTTCAAACAAAGCTTTGCAGAAAATTTGGAATCATTTAATTATTCCTGGATTGAGTCTCAGAACAAGCAAATTCCATGGCATATATGAATGATAAATTAGATTACTTAGATAGTTGAATATATATGCATTAGAATAAATAGAAAATATCATGCCAATATCAAAGATTATACCTATGAACCCAAGTCCCAAAACAATTGTTATTCTCGTCGTTTTTATTCACTTCATATATGTTTCATATACTATATTACTCCCTCCATCCTTGAATTATCTTCCAAATTTCATTTTATCGTCTGTTCCAAAATAATCTTTCATTTCCTTTTTTGACAAAAAAATTGTGGTTCATAGCAATTCTTATACATTCTACACATTTCTTTCACAACTCTCCGTCATACAATTCTCACTTTCTTAATCCTTGTCAAATGTATTTTGGAACAAGTGCAAAATGTACTTTGGAAGATAATTTAGGGAGGGAGGAGTACTATTTACCTTGGAGTATGAATTTTTTTATTCACAGAGATTTACCTGAAAATCTGATTGGAATAAGGGAATACCCAAGGAAAGAAATACGAAGTTTTATACCTTGTGGCTGCAGAGCTTGAAGTATGTCCTTGGCCTTTGGTCAGTAAGCTCTCACCCTCAGAATACTGTTTGGGCAGGGGAAGTGGCTGCGGCAAGGCGGACTCGGGCCAGTGGCCGGCGTGCCATCGCAACCGTGAATTGGACTCCGGTGAAACCGGCAAAGACTTTGACTTTGACTGCCCATCAATAAGCCCGAGGCGTAACCCGAGCTCGTCCTCCGTCGCATGCCTCAACCTCGGCTGCCGGGTCAGCCGCTGACCTCCGCCGCCGATAAGATGCCTATCGCTGCCGCCGAGGAGAGATTCATAAGCCGGGCTTGAACTAGAAGCCGGTGATGGGTTGGTGCGGGCGGAGTGAGAGTGGGAAGAGGTATGCGAGAATGCTTTCCAGAAAGAAGAAGGCATTCTCAGAGGGAGTTCAGAAAGAAGAGCAGGGGTGGGAGGTGATATGGGATTATGGGCAGTCAACACAGTGCTGGTCAACGCTTAGGCAGAGATGGCATGAATAACTTTGTCCCTTGCAATAGTCTTCTTCACGCTTTACAGTAATATATACGGAAGTTCCATAGACGGACGACATCTTTCAGGCTAGTTGGACAAAGAATGACAAAGTCAATGCACGTGCCTGTCTTTCACATTGTATCTAGTTACTCCCTCCTTCCCATATTTAACTCCCGTTTTGACCGGGCACGGGTTTTAAGATAGTGAGATTTGTGTGGTGGAGAGTTATGTAGAGGAGAGAGAAATGTGTAAGAACGGTTGTGAACCACATATTCTTTACCAAAAAGGGAAAAAGAAGATAAATTTGGGACGGACCGAAAAGGAAAGAATGAAGATAATTCCGTGACGGGGGAGTATTTTAAAAAAAGGATGACATCCACCCCCAACTCCGATCGAATGGTACGTTAGGAGGATGTAAGTTAGACTATAATCATAATCTGACAGATAGAGAGTGAATTGTATCTAGTTATTTTACACATGGTTCTATAGTGTCTTTTAAATGAGCATAGTTTTATAAGGAAAATTCCGGGAATATTTGCTAAAGATTAAAATAAATGTTTTTCAGCTTTTGACTTAGAAAAACTGAAATACTTCTGATGACAACTTCTGCTTAAATTAATCACTTAAAAGTTAAAAGCTGGAAGCAGGTTAAGAGGTGTTTGAAATTATTTTTCACTTTTTCTATTACACAAAAAACATGTATTCTATCAAACACTATAAATTTTTACTTTTTCTTTATCACTTTTTTCTCAAACACTAGCAACTTTTACTATTATGTACTTTTCCCAAAATTACTTTAAAAATTATTTTTTTTAAATTAGAACCAATCGCGAACACTCTCTAAATAGGAGTACAAAATTTGAAATTCTAAAATATGACTGTCATATTTTTATTTTTTAAAATATGGGTGATTCCAACCAAGTTTAGAAAAAATTGACAGAGATTGTCATGTTTAAAGTCTGATAATGCCAAACTTGGTAGAACTTACTCCTATTTTGGCAGTCCTATTTTGGAATTTCAAAACATTTTTCTCCTATTGAGGGCAATTTCTAAATTTAATATTTATTTGATTTTTTATTAATTTCATTGTAAAATTAGAATGTTTTTTGCTTCACAAAAGTGTAGTAGTTTAATATTTTAGTTTTTGTAAATATTAAAATTCATAGAATTTTAGGTGTTAGATTGATAGTTCTTTATCATTCGGACTTTATATCGATACATTGGGTTTAATCTCTTTGATTTGTTGATTATTTTGTATTTAGAAGGGTTTTGGTCTAGTCCTCCCTTCATTGTTATCCTTGCTTTATCTAATAAAACTCGGTAAATGTCTTCGGGCATTTACCCCACCGATTTTGATGGTTTGCCTTCCGAGGTTGATGGAGTATATGGCCCAGCACCCCCCGGCCCACATACTTCTACTATTACATTCAGGCCCAACAGGCCCAAAACGGGCCAAGCCCAGCATAGTGAAGCTCTAGGCAGCCCACGAGGCGTGAGGGGGTGCCTTCATCCCCATGGTCGAAGGCCACTAGGGACAGACTAGGGCTCAGAAACATCGCAGGAGAACAAGGCTTAAAAATCAAGTCTTCGGCATTGGAGCCCTCGGCATTATGAGGCCCTCGGTACGCAGAGCCTTCGGACTGTCATCTACAGCCGAAGGCATCCTCCTCGACAGGATCTCCCATCCACATGCGCTGGATCAACGTACCAAGTACAAACGTCGCATCCAACCACCGCATTTAATGCAGCCACATGCGAATGTCAATGCCACACCAGTTGAGGTGACCCCTCGATCACCAGATTGTTGACACATGTCCCTAGCTAGCATTTATTGCTGCTATAAATAGCACCCCTTTCCCCATTTGTAAATCACGCTCAATACAATCCGAATACACATTTGAACTCTTTATCTCTCTTACTTGTTTGCTCTGACTTCTCTCTAGGTTACTCCCCGTAGTAACCCCTCGGATAAGCTACCCCCCGGGTACGCTATCCATCATTTGGTGCTTTCATTGAGAGGTCGAACAATCGAGTAAGAAACCCTCCCCTTCAGCTCAAAACACCTACCAAAATGGGAAGAACCACCTGTGCTCAGTCTAAGAACCTTGAGGACAACAACCTGGCCCTCGGTGAAGTCAACGCCCCCGGAGCCTCTAACAAAGCTCCCGAGGGCGGGGTCATCACTGAGTTGGAACAGGTTGTTGTTGACCTGCGCCTTCAGCTTCAGCAGAATGCCCCCGATGCTCGTCTTGGCATCGAAACCCGGAGGAGAGACCGAAGCGAAAATCAAGTGAGCCCTCCAGTTCTCACTATTGACGTACATTCGGCATTCTCCGCCTTCATCCAAACACTCACCCAGAACCCGGGTGCCTTCGGCACTCTGGTACCCCTTCAGCCGCAGGTCGGGGAGAACGTTGTTCCCCCCCTCCTCCGCCCCCCTTCGTGAACCCTATCCTTCGGCTAGGGAACAACGAGGGGGTCATGGCCCAAGATACTGCGTCCCAGGAGGTCCAATCCAGGGACCAACGCGGTGCGAACAAGGAGGGGCCTCAAACCTCCGCCATCGAGAGGCTCGGAGGGGCGCAAGACCGCCTCGGAGGAAAGGCGCTCCAAAAACCTCAGGAAAGCGGGGGTTCCGTCTCGAGGGCAGACGAGAGGCGTCCCCTTCAAAACAAAGGCAAGACACCACTCCATGCCAATGACGCAAGACATCAAATCAACCAGGGCCCTTCGGCCCGTGTTCATTCGCAGGGGGCGGAGGCCCTCCCGAAGGATCACAGGGACGAGATTATTGCAGCCCTCCAGCACCGGCTTGATGAAATGGAGGCCCATCGAGCACATACCGCCGTCGCCGCCCCTCATGCAGATCCCAAATATGATGCCATGCTGGCCAAAATGGATGAGATGCAAAAGAGAATAGCCGAGGGCTCCGAGGAACCCGTCATCCAACTCCGGACTAGGACGCCATTTACCCCAATGGTATTGGCGGCCCGAACTCTGGAAAAATACCAGGGGCAACCCATTAGACCCTATGAAGGAAAGACGGATCCCCAGGAGCATTATAGCAGATATCGGAACAGTATGATGATGGTGGGGGCATCGGACGAATATTTGTGTCGTTGGTTCCTCTCCACCTTAGAGGGACCAGCATACGAATGGTTCAACCGATTGCCCGAAGGCTGCATCGATTCATGGCAGGAACTCGTCCAACGTTTCTTGACGCAGTTTGCAGGGAGGCGCCGATCAAGAAAACAATTCTCCCTCTTGCTGACGGTGAGACAAAAAAGGGAGGAGACCCTTCAGGACTTCTTGGAACGCTGGAGGACGGAAGCGGATAAACTTGACGGCGCTGACGATGGGACCCTCCTGGCCCTCCTTCAAACAGTCCTCCGCCCCGGGAACTTTTCAAGGACCCTCATCAATGAACCTCCCCGCGATTACATAAGGGCCCTACAGCGGGGGACCGGTACGCCGAGGCTGAGGAAGTGGGAAAATGTCATCACAATCCCGATCAGCAATGCCCTCGGCCAGATGACAAAGGCAACCGGGGGCCGAGGGCTCCCCCAAATCAATCCAAAAGCTCAGCGCCCCCCGGTGATCGCCCCCGGCATGGCCAAGCCAAGCTCGGGGGAGGTTACAAGGGCAACCCGAAGGCTTGGGCCCAGCCCATTCTCTTGGAACACCCTTAGACGCCCTTGACACACCCCATCAGTGTCATCCTAGACTTCGCCGAAGAGAGGGGCCTAGTGGAGCGCGACTCCCGCGCACCCCTAGAGGTATATGCCATCAACCCCAATTATCCTTACTGTCGGTTCTATCGCAACCAAGGGCACAGGACCAACGACTGCCATCAGCTGAAGACAGCCATTGAGAGGTTGATACAGGAAGGCCACCGGTCTCAGTTCATCAGAGGCCCTCCTCCCCAAGGAACCCCTCACTACCAGGGCCCCCCCTAAGAAAGCAAACACATGGGTCAACCCAAACACCATCCCCCTCGGCGGCCCGAAGGGTAGTAAAAGGGAGATTGGGAACCTCGATGAGGAGGAAAAGTACAACCAGTACCAGGAGAAGAAGCGCCACATCCACATGATCATTGGCGGCAACACCGGAGGCGACTCCACCGGCCAACAGAAGAAGTGGGCTCAATCCCTCTACGTTGGGGAAGTAAACCTGATGGATAGTGTACCTGGGGGGTAGCTTATCTGAGGGGTTATTGCGGAAAATAACTAGAGAGAAGTCAGAGCAAGTAAGTAAGAGAGAGTGTATATCAGATATGTATTCAGCGTATTTTTGCTTCTGGTTACAAATGGGGAAATGGGGTGCTATTTATAGTAGTAATAAATGCCAGATAGGGACACGTGTCAAGCATCCATTGGCCGAGGGGTCACATCAATCGGTTGGCGCTGGCAATCGCATGTGGCCGCATTTAATGCGGCTGTTGGATGTGACGTCGTACTTGGTACGTTGATTCAGGCGCATGTGGAGTGGATATTATGTCGAGAAAGGTGCCCTCAACTGCAGGTGATTAGCCGAGGGCTCTGAGTACCGGGGACCCCCTTAGTGCCAAGGGCTCTAGGTGCTAAAGGCTACTGATTTTCGCCGTTTTCTCCTAGTAACTTTGTGTGCTTGAGCTGGCCGTCCTGTGAGAATTTGGAGCCTTCGGCCAGGGGGCCGAAGGCACTCCCAGTGTGCTGCGTGGGTTGCTCAGTACTTGGGGCGCCGTGTTTTGGGCCTGCTGTGCTTCCTGGGCCTATTAGGCCTCCATTAGAATAGTAGGAGTCTATGGGTCGGGGGTTCCTGGGCCATATACTCCATCAGGAGTCCCTCACTCCTTTTGCCGAAAGGTACTTGAGGGAAAAGGAGTAATCTATGTTTGTCCTTTTGGTGTTGTTCCATTGTAGTTTGTGGAGTTTGTGAGTAGTTTGTTGTGTGCATGTTTCAGCCGAGGGCAGTCCCTCAGTTACCCACATTCCGGGACTTGGGGGATCATGCTCGTTTGTCGCGGGGGTCTTTGACATTTTTTGTATTTTGAGATTTTCCCGAAGGGGTCCTCCAGTCCCCTACTCCTTGAGGCACTT